GCTTCCAAATGATATGAAAACAGTTTCTGTTAGAAAAGTAGAAGAGCTTTTGTTTCGTTCAATGTTCTTGAAATCTATTTTCAGGAAATTAAGTTTTTTTTTGTTTTTTAAATCCACTTTTTCCTAAAACAAAAAAAAAATGATGTTTTATGTTCTCTGTATATGGTTTTCCTATCAGAAATATAACAATGACTGGCAATCTTATTAAATTATCAGAAATTATTCTTTCTTACTTTTGTCTTGTTTATTTTCAAGGACAAGTGTGCATATCTGACAGTTATCATAATAGTAGTTTTGAGTATTGAAGCATGAAGCTCAATACATACAAGAGACACTTCATTGAGTTTGAATTATCAGAACAGAATAACTGCCAATAACATGCATACCATTTTCTATTTTGACTACGCTTTGTAGCATAGTATCCATCTTTGTTTTCATTTCATTACTATCATCCATATCTGGGGCAAGAAGGGTCAGCTCTCTGTGAATTTCACGTACAAACCTGCATATCTTCTCAGCATACTCAAGTTCACCATCTGATATCCGACCAATTGCCATCCTCATCAGCTCTCCTGTCAAGTCTGCAAGCTAAACTAGAACAGTAAACAGTTGGCACACTTCTAATTCTAATACATATGAACACATATATGATATCATAAAAGAAAAGAAAAAAGAACACATATATGATATCATAAAAGAAAAGAAAAAACAAGTTTTAGACTCTTTACTCTTATATTCTAGTAAATCCTGAGAAGAACTGATACTCCAAGAGAGGGGTCGAGTCCATGTCCAACACAAGTGTCCACGTGTCTGACACACCATGTGGCTTGTCAATTTTTTTAATTACTAGTTTTTTGTAGGTCACGTTGGTAACACTTCATAGACACGCATGTCCAATGTTTGGACACATCTCAGGACACCTTTGTAGGTTTTTTCTTTATATTTTGGAGTCACCCACATATACACCATTGCCTCTATTTATTTTAGAAAGTAAAATATATTGAAATAAAGAGGGAAAAAGTAGAAAATGAAAAAAAAAAAAAAACCACATATACATTAATGCCTCTCATATTTACGTAACCTAAATTTATATTCATCTACATAGTAAATAAATAAAATTTCCATGTCCATGTCCTAATTTTTCATAATTTCTTGTGTCCCTTGTCCATGTCCGTGCTTCTTAGAGTAAATCAAAATGGAGGAAGAAGGGGGACAGTGCAGAACTATAATTTAATAGTACACATAAGTCAATTTGACTTATTTTTATTATCAAAGAAGAATCTCTGCTCTTTCATGCACAAATAGATGGCTAAGCGCTATTTATTATATTCAAAGGATGGATATTACCACTTCTATTTTGATTTGAATAACAAAAATAATTAAATGGCACAAGATTGAGGAAATTACCCCCAAGAGATAGTCAAGGACATTAATCTGCAATGGGTCCACAGAAGGATCACTCAATGGTAAGAGGATACCATTAATCTCACCAAGATTCAAAAGAGTCCCAGTCTTGCAGAATTTGAAAAGTGTCGCTGCTTCAACATACTCTTGTACCTGCAAATATACAAAGGCCCAAAATGATTCAACTTTGGCATCTTTTTCATAGCCTTAGCAGGTAAGAAAGGCACAAAGGCAGAACCCCGGGAGAGTATGCTCGTCTTAGCTTCCAAAAATCAGTCCCCCCAAGTTCTTTTACTAGCCGGGCCACATATTGATCTGTCACAGCTGCCAGATCTTTTTCTGCCTTCTCAAGAACCTCCTCTTTGTTATGTTTACTCATTCTGTTGTAGGAAAATAAAGTTGCAACATCAGCACTGTAGCAAACCATTTTATTTCAGTTAGAAACTTTGAACAAGATCATTACATTGAAGTTCATAAATTTATATATAGGATTAAACAAAGCCAGAAAGTGAAAAGGTTATAACTCCAGACGGCACAAAAAAACAAAATAAACACATAATTTTCATTTGTAATGACAAAAATTATTATTAGAACAGGTATTGTATTGCCCATCCCGAACTTAAAAGAATAGAGAAGAGGAGAACATATCATATCAAACTGACTCATTGAATAGTTGCGAAATTAAAGCCAAGAAGTACGCCATTAACCATGTGGAAGACCTTAAAAAGGACATTTAAATCAACTGCCAGTAAAGAGGTAAGATGTAGTGATAAAGGACAATGGAAAATGTATAAGCAGGGAACAACATCTTGTTACCTGTGCACCTGGAATATGACCTTTTTGCTATTGATGGTGATATCCCGACTTGCTTTTACCACCCTTTCCCGTTTATCATTCTGCGAGATAAATTGATAAATAGATAATAAATCTGAAAACAATAATTTTAATGAATGTTGAGGCGGATGAATGGTGTAATAGCAATAACTTCAACTTTCAGCTCAAAAAATATCGCAAAAAAACATCAATATTACAAATAAACATATCTGCCTTATGCATTGTCTAACTCAAAGGAGTATTAAAGAAGTGAATCATGCATATAAGTTCTTTTGTTTGGTCATTTTCACATACATTACTATCATCTATCATCTAGATGGACTTTTGATGATTGATAATGTCTAATGGCAAGGACTTACCAAAATGTTTGTCCACAAGCCTTGCTACAGTCAACATACATGCATAATGTGCTCGCCCGTCTTATGCATGGCAAGACAGTGTACATCTAGTACTGCATGTATTGGATTCCCCCTAGACCCACATTAGCAATAGCATGCTTTGGATCAGCTGGATGATCAGTCTGTCAGTGCAAGTTAAGTGGAAAACCAATACTCTCGATGAATACAGACAGCACCACTATTAAAGCAAGCTTAAAGTACAAAACCATTTTAGCAAACCTAATTATCTAAGCACGCATTTGGGCATCATTCAAGGATCAAAGTTTCGTTTTGATTTGTCATGTAGAGGTCAACTTGGAAGCATATACATTCCAAAAACATGAGAGAAATCCCAAATATTTTTGGAAACACACAAAAGTGTAAAACTAAAACCTATTTAGATGTATATAAAGAAAACATGTCTTGAGGTTTACTCACACATTCACATATAGAACACAAGTGTGCAATAGGGTAGAAAACGTCAATATGAACCAAGAAGAATTAAATTAAAGTCAAGGAAATCAATATTGTCAAATGAAAGTATGTATGATTTTGAATGTGCATAAGGTTTGATCAAATAAGGTATATAAATATATCAATAATGACAACAGACACAATAATTAATATTAACAATAAACAAATGTCAAAGCAATTCCACGGAGTGTGCAAGTCCTTTTGGTAACAAGATTAAAACGGCCTTTTTAACAAGGCTAAGAATAAAGTTCAACAAAGATCAATGAATATTGAAAGATAATAAACAAATGATTCAAAGTGTTGGGATAGGTAGCGGGGTTTGCTATTGTAAGAGAAAAATAAGAAACACAAGATTCTAATAGCAACAGGAAGAAAAAGAAGAAGAAGAAAAAAAAAAAAAAGGTACGTGTAATAACAATATAAGAGAATAAGTGGTTTGACTATAACATCTTTCTCTTCCTTTATTTCGCCTCTTCTCCATTCTACTTCTTCATATTATCAATCAAATTTTATATGTTTTCTTGGTACTCAAATACTTTTTTCCATAACAAAAAGAGGAAAACAAACAACTTTTGTTCGGATTTCTTGATAGGTATTGATACAAATCATGAGGCTGGTTTGTTTTGTAGTGTTTCAACGAATTTCAACGTAAAATTTTGGTTTATTACTAATGCCTCATGTCAATTTCCTGAGACTATAAATTTTTTGGCCATGGAAACTAAACAAAATTTTATTGTTTGAACTATCAACCTTATCTGAATCCACACCTAAAGGTTCTAAGTTTCATACGATCAATCACTAATAAAACATCCTCAACTCCACGCTACTTAAACCCAAAGATCAAATTTGACAATCCCAAACCAATAATCTAACATGTATGACTTTTTAATGGGAACCTCACACTCCATCCAAAACTAAACAAACTAAGCCTTAAGTCCCATCAGATAGAGTCAGATATGTTGTAACAATGAAAGTAAAGGAGAAGTGAAGATTGAGAACCAAGAATTGCCTAAAAGTGAACATTTTCGTTATTTAGGGTCGATTATCACAACAGCGGGAGAGATTGATGTAGATGTGGCCCACAGGATTAAGGCGGGATGGTGTAAGTGGAGAAATGCATCTGGGGTATTGTGCGATAAACAAATACCCACTAGACTAAAAGGTAAGTTTTATAGAACGGCTATTAGACCAGCTATGTTGTATGGGACGGAGTGTTGGGCAATTAAGAAACAACATGCAGATAAGATGAGTGTGGCTGAGATGAAGATGCTAAGGTGGATGTGTGGTAAGACTAGACAAGACAGGATTAGGAATGAGTGTATTCGGGAATGGGTAGGAGTAGCGCCGATAGAAGGTAAGTTGAGAGAGAATCGTTTGAGATGGTTTGGTCATATTCAACGGAAACCAACAGAGGCACTAGTGAAGAGATGCGATACTGTAACGGTAGATGGAAGTGTTAGGAGACGGGGTAGGCTTAGATTAACGTTGACTAGCGTTTTAAATAGAGATATAAATCTACTTAATTTGACTAATGAAATGGCCTTTGATAGAGCCGCGTGGAGAAGAAGGATTCATGTAGCCGACCCCATTTGATGGGACTTAAGGTTTGGTTTGGTTTGGTTTGATTTGACTATCAAAGGCCATTTGGTTATCGATCTAAAACTATTTTACTAAATTTATTTAGAATCATTTCCTACTCAAATTCAATTTTCCACACCTAAGGAATTAGTTAATATTTATTAAAGAGGCATAGCAACACATCAAGAGTAAATACAATAATTTTTTGGCATATAGTCATTTAGTGCAACCAAAAAAACAAATTTAGGCTCCGTTTGGCAAGATACTTAGAAGCCAAAAAGCTAAAAAAAATAATAATAATAATAATTAGAAAATGTCAAAAAAATTAAATAACTCATACAAAAAAAAAGTCAAAGATTCCTTCCCGTTTACACTACTTTTGCATGTATTCGTAAGAAACCAAAAAGTTTTTCTCAAACATATTGGTTTTTTTTTGGCAAACATTTTAGTCAAAAAGCCAAAAAAAAGTCAGCTAAGAAAACCAATTCCCAAGCCCATTGAATGCAAATGAGCATTGCTTCTGCTATACTGTTCCCGCAATCAAGTCAATGCACAAGATTCTTTATCATTGAATAGAAACAGGTACAACAATGAGATAACATGCAAGCAAATCTATCAATGCCCATTGTTAGTGTCTCATATATGCAAACACTACACCCCGAAAAATAAAAAATAAATAAAATCAGCATATCCAACACTTAGAAATCCAAATAGAAAAAACCCAATTAAGCCCCACTGAGATAGAACAAAATCACTGAATACTTAAAAAATAAATAAATAAATAAAAATTGGGGGTGAAAGTGAGGAAGCTAACGAGTTCATTGAGGCAATCTGCGTATTTGGCGAAAGCGTCCCTCATGGAGGATTCAGCAGTGGTCGTGATCATCCTCGGCCTCTTTGTAGCGCTCTGCAGAGTCGTCTCTGCAACTGCCAACATATATGTATTCGATTCGAGAGTGTGAATGTAAGTGATTAGAATGTGCACAGAATAGAGTATCACAGTCAGTAAATTTGCAGTGACAATTTCACAGAAATAAGGAGGAAAAAATGAGAGAGACAGACCAAGGGTGTGCTAGGGTTTCATTCAGTTATATAGATCTTTCTTTTTATGTAGAGAGAGAGAGAGAGTACCTCGATTGAGGCGCTGAGGTTTTGGTGCCATGAGAAAGAACTTGTGGAATGCGGAGGAGGCGTAGAACATCTGTCAGTCTTGCCTGCCTAATTCAGACGCTGAAGCACCCACCACCTTCCCGGATTTTATCTAACAATTTTCTTTTTTTTTTAAATTACAAATTTTTATTTTATTTCTTTAAGCTTAAAGCTCAACGGTTAACTATTTATAGTATCATTTTGTTACAATTAATTCTTTTTATTATGATTCTATCAAAAATTTATAAAAAG